ACAGGCCACTGTCTGATGGGGCGGCACGCAGAAATACTAAGGGCTCCCTACAAAAGATGTTGCAGAAGCTACAGCAAGGATGAAGAGGAGGAAATGATCACCCATCGTTTCCTCCTGCGGGTTAGGGGCTCAAGAATTTACCCGCGGTAAGTCATGCCTATCGTAAGAGGCGACTAAAACCCAATAGTTCCCGCGACAGTCGGGTCTTTATACCGGAACGACCCGGACTTTTATCCGTCCAAGGACTGTCACTCCCGCGAAATTCCATAAAAAGTACAACAACAACAACATCACCCATCTCTTATGCGACTGTCCTGCATTGAGCAGGGCGAGGTTTCGTAATTTTGGGACCCTACTGATGGATGGTCTATCAAAGATGGCCAGAATCAATAGCTGAATATTGTACAAAGTCATAAGAGGAAAAAATATCGCACGGAAAGACTTTCTGTTTCGATTAGTAGAAGAACTTGCTTTAGCTTATCAGTCTTCACGGAACAAATTACACAAAGCTGACATACCAACTACAAAAGGCACGGCTTATTTACGAAAATAGTGTCAAATATGATACAGCAAAAACAATAAAATTATTACAATTATTTGCAATAAAGCGAGGGGATTTGTTTTTACTGCAAAAAAAAAAAAACATCGAGCTCCTCGTTGAGCGTCCTCAGATAGAATTTTAATAGTTTTTAATAATTTTTCTTCATATATGAAATTTACGGATATCGGTTTACTAGAAATTAAATAAACGTAAAAATAAAATATCTAAAAATTGGATTTGCACCCAATGCAGTTCTGTTAAAATTCAAAAGTGCTCTTTTTAAAATTTCAAACGGAAGGTTAGTTAACTAAGTGTTTTGAAAAACACAGTCGCTACTCGTTTAAACGTTCGTCAAACAGGAAACGGAAAAGAAAATTAACACTAAACGTACCGGAATTTTGCCATACCTAATTTACCATGGCGGCCGCAGTGGCCGAGTGCTTAGTATTGCGTACTGTTATTCGAAAGGCCCGGGTTCAAAACTTGGTGCGGCCAATTTATTATAAATTTAAGTTAAATTTTCTAATTGCTTTGGCGCCTCGGCAGGAAAGATCAACCCCTTCGAGGCGGCTTAGTATAAACTGTAGGTCTCTCCATCAAGACGCAAAACCACAAATTGGAGGAGGAGCTCGGCCAAAAATCGCTTCAGCGGTTACAAAGTGTCAATTATAAATATATATATATATATATATATATACAATTTACAGTGGGGGTCATTTGAACCCGTATGAAATAAACGTAGATTTTTTCGTAAAAAATTCTTTATTTATCAAGAGAAATAAGTTGCGACATCATTTCTGATTTCGTGTAAAATTAAACACATATTTTCATCGCTATAAAAAAGCAATCGCATAATTACATTTATTACTTTTAACTTTTTTACACATTACACATGTGTGTGTTGTTTTATTCTATTATATTTTAAATTTTTTCCTGTGTTGGGAATTATTAGTGGAGCTGCTTGATATTCCTTCTGTTTGATTTTCTTTTTCTTCTTTACAAATTTAGAGATGAAATGAAAGCGAATTTGTCCACACCTAAGACTTGGCTTTTGCCATTGAACCCCAGAACTATCGAGATTTCTGAGCAGTCGTTCTAACTCATTGTATTCGAGAAAAAGGAAAGTCCCCATTGCGAATTCCAGAGGTGGGAAATGGATACATTTTTTGCTGATAAGCCACACGTGCATATACAATAACTCGTCAACGAATGCATATAATTCTTTATAGACAGCAGTCCCCAAAACTCGTAAAACTTTTGTTTCTGTATATTTATTTATATTTTCAATAATGATGTGATCGATTACCACAAAAAATGCGAATGAAGCTTTACTTCTCTAAAAGTAAGTGATGGGTTGTAGGCCCTTCTCTGTTTCGCTGCCAAACAGTTCCATCAACAGCTGTGACAGTGTTACCATAATTCTGTTGACTATCTGCCCTCTACGGAGATTCAAAAAATACTCAATTTTAATCGGCAACCACATTATCCCCCTGATCCCTCCTCTATGTCTCGAAAATAATTTTGACTTTCGCCATGATCGTGCTCAGAAATTGAATCTTCTTCACCCGAATTCACTTCACTTACTTGTCTCTCTCTCTTTCTTGTTGCACTCTCTCGGATATATTCAGAGTTGCAGTGAATCACAAGCCCAAAAAATACATAAACTTCGTACGGGGTCAAATGACCCTTAATGGTACGTATGGTTGGTAAAGAATTTTCGTTGATAAAAAATAAGCTTCGAGAAAAACGGAAAGCAGGAAATTGAATAAGCGGGTGATATAAGAACTTACAAAATGTCAAATGATCGGTAGAAATAAAAATAGATGTGCTTAAAGTCAAGTTTCAAAAGGGGTCATTTGACGCCGCTTGGTACGTTTAGTGTGAACCATTAACGGCAATCAACAAAATACAATATTAAAAAATATGGAATTTAAAAATATTTAGCGATTTGAGTAGTTGAAGATTCTCTGTTGACATTTAGAAGCTCTGCACCATTTTAAATATTTCTTGTTTTTCAGTGCAATAACTTTTAATTGCCATAAATTTATTTCCAATCGTGTGAAATGGAAAATATTTTTACTTTTTATTGCAAAAAGAAGTAATTAATGATACAATAATTGCACGTTGATTCATATAATTTTATAAAAAAAAACCTTTCAATTTAAATTGTCATGTTTAATTGCTTAATTAAACTCTTCCATTTTATGGTTGGAATTTAAAAACAAGAAATTTTATTTCGATGCTAACCGTTAAACTTATTGGTTTTAATATTTCTATCAAATATGCTCAACTGACGAAATTAATTAAACGAAATGAAATGGTTAATATTAAAACCCCACAAAGTAATCGTTGACGTTAATTTTAAAAAGAGCTGCCTGCTGTGAATTAACAGCATCCTACAATGTTAACGTTTAACATTATCTGTAAACGATTTAACATTAGCGGCAGCTTTTCGTTTCGGGTAAAAAGGAAATAAAATTCGTTTTAATAACTTCTCTGACGATTACAATTCCAAATATTTCAACTCAATCGATTGAAATTATGTGATTAAAGTGAAATTTATCGTTAAGATGTAGCCTTGATTTATATGCATAAGACAATATATTTATTAAATATATATGAAGGTTACTTTAAACGCGTATCGTACGTTTGCATTAAATATTTGATTGTGGTCAAAGGCATAAAGGGTAGTAAATATATTCTATTTCATATCATAAGAGAAAAATTTCTTATTATAAGATGTCACATAACGGTGATCATAACACATATTTTGATTTCATTCAAGTTAAGCGAATGGTCCAATCTAAATATTTCAATTTTAAAATATTCTACATTACCAATTTGGGATCTGCTTGCTTGGAATATCTGTTCATACCTTATTTTTTGTAATTGAAAATTTGCTGCTTTAGATTGTTCAAAAGATGGAAAACTTATCTAATTTTAGTTGAATGTTGGATCACTTCTCAGTTTCCGGTTTCTTTTAAAATCTTCTTATTTTTATATACCTTCCTGTATCACTTTCTCTTCGGTCTGCAAATTCATCTCGCCTCACCTATAGACTTACAATACTAACACAATTCATAAGAGACTGTCTTCTCTCTTCTTTTTAATGAAGCAAGGGAAAAGTTTATCCAAGTAATTTTAGTAATAAAATTAAAGACTTTATTTACCATAGTTAGAAATATCCCATTTATGGCAAATATGGAAATTTGAAAGTAATGCCTCTTATAGACACCCTTGTCCCTAGCAATCACTTGATGCGAGGTCCAGACTATAAGGTGGATACCTTCTAACTAAGCTTCCCAAAAATATGGCGAGTAACTATCAATGTGTGTTGATAATATCTGAACGCTTCTAGGTTACTTACTTATTTTATTGACGAAGACACCGCTTACGAGATCATAGCCGAGCTAACAACATTGTGCCATTCATTCCTTTCCAGATCCCTCTCTACTTGGTCTTTCCAACGGTGTAGAGATCTTCCTATTTCTCTGCTCCCAATGGTGAAAACTTTCAAAGCTGGAGTATTCAAATCCATCCGGACTACATGATTTAGCCAGCGTAGCAGCTGCTTCTTGATTCGCTGAATAATATCAATATCGTCGTATAACTCGTACGGCTCATCGTTCCATCTTCTGCGATATTCACCGTTGCCAATGCGGAAAGGCCCATGAATCTTACACAAAACCTTTGTCTCCAAAAAAGCACCTATTGGCAAGAGTGATTCTGCGCCGGATTGCACTACCAGACGCTTGTCCTTCGCTTCTTTATCCAGTCTGGATAAATGAGAACTAACGGCGTGGCTGTTGAGCCCAATAAGGGCAATACACTCTTTTAGAATATTGTCATATTATTTTCTCCAGCAATAAGTTAAAAAAGTCGCACGATAAGGAATCACCTACTCTGAAACATCGTTTGGTATCGAACGGCTTAGAGTGGTCCTTCCTGATCCTGACTAAGCTTTTGGTATTGCTTAACGTCAGATTACCGAGTCATAAGTTGACTTCCCAGGTCTAAAGCCACACTGCTAAGGTCCATCCAGTTTTTCTATTCAGCAGGATGGAGAAGTACTCTCGGCTCCGGTCTAGAAACCTTCCGTAATTCGTCGTATCTTCTAATAGAATTTTCGAGCATCACCCTTGTCGGCCAGCTTCTCAAAATCTTAATACTCACGCATCTCTCTCGTTTTTTGTCTGCAGATGCGTCCTGCTCCCCTCTTACACATCTTACTATATACATATGTAAGTATGTAATTGCCGCTTTGTAACCACTGAAGCGATTTTCGGCCGAGTTTCTCCTCCAATTTGTGGTCTGCGCCTGGATGTTTTTCGAATAAACGGAGGTACTCATACGGAAGGTGCTCATAAAATAGTAGAGTTAATTTTCAAAATTCTAAGTTTCGGCTTATAAAAAGTTTTAGTTATCGAAACGCATTAATAAAAAGCATTCGAGGCTTTGAAATCCAATGTATTTATTAACAAAACTTACAAAATTCAAATATATAAAATGATCCAAATAAATAGTATAAATCGTTTTTAAAACTCTTTCACATTCTGTGTGAAACTGGCTCAGAAAACTTTTATATCTCAAAATACTGCCACACTTTTGGTAGCACCCCCCACTTCTCTCCTTCATTACTTGCTTCATAGAGTTTATGCACTTTTATCAATTCCGCATCCAACAGTTGTTCTTCTGGTGTTAGCGTGCCAATGAAGTCATTGAATACCTCCTCAAATATTTCATTAAATCTTTGAATCTCAAAAACAAGTTTCGGACTTTCATTCAAATCGCTCAATCTCAAAATATTTGATTCAAATAAATCGGCTACTGTATTGGTGACAAAGCGTACTTCATTCTTATCTAACGGTTCATCGATTAAATTTATATTTTCGATTTTCGCCAAAGCAGCGCTTAGCGTGGTGATTTTATTTTCAGTGACAACACTCCTTTCGGTTTGTGCTTGTAATTTTTCCAAGATCACTTGTATTGCCACACGGGACAATTGTGCAAAATGTTTTTCGAATTCTAATAACAGATTATGGCGTGCTAGCAAATCTATTTTGCTATTTAAGACGATATTATTATTGCTAATTTCTAGCTCTGTTGTGGGTATAGAGCCCACTGGCTGCGTGGCCATCAGCTGAAATAATATTTTTTTAAATAATGCTGAAAATGTTTTTTTTTTAATTTTTAGCTTATTTACCTTAAAAGTTGAGCAGGCTAAGCAAAGAAATATACTCCAAGATTTAAACATTGTGTTTTTTTTTGCTGTTGTCACTTGTTAACTTTTTGAATGCTAATGACTTGTGAGAAGTCAACGCTGTTCATTTTATAGCAGTTTGTTTTGAACTTAAATGAGTTTTTTAATTATTTAATCTTAATTTTTCTTCATTCTTGAAAATTCTAAGCAAAATATGAGAAATTTCATTGGAATTTGGTTACGTTAATTTTATTACGTACTTATTTATTACAACTGCTTTCATGTTTGTACTCATATATTCGCTATATATACACACACTTATGTACATATGTACATATGTTTCATTTTCATTAGTAATCTGTTTGGTTTTTTATTTAATTGCCTTCTTTGTAAGTACAATATAACATCAATGACGTTAAATTATAAGAAAAATTCTAGTTTTCATTGGCATGGCCAACTAAATATTAACCCTTATGCTTTTTGCCATCTAATAATTAATAAATATCTAGCGAAAAATTCAAACTACTTTTGGTGTATATTTATATAATAAATATTTTAAACTGTTCCAGGTAAGTTGAACTCGTCAAGAATTCCGTATAGTATAAACAGTAATTGAAAAAAATTATATTAAGTGAATATCAGAAAAGGGCTGTCTCGGCCAAGTTTTTTCTTCAAGTTTTAAAAAGATATAAAAAATTCCAGCTTGGAAGTCGAGCTCGTATTCAATTTACAAAATCGTGACTTCTTAAGAGCTATGGCAAAGTTAAAAAAAAAATAAAACTCAGAAAAATGCATCAAAGCTTTATTTGAATCGATATCCGATCCATATAATTAAATTTTTGAAAACGATTTCATGCAAATGCTGACCGTGACTGCGCCTCAAAAGGTCCATCCGCTTAGTCCATTTTTTGGTATACTCTTTCCAACAATTCGGCCGGTATCTCAAGAATAAATGCTTCAATGATGTCCTCCAATGCGTCAATTGAAGCGGACTTGTCTGTATAGACATTGAAGTTATAACAGCCCCCCAAAAAAAGTCTAAAGGCGTTAAATCGCACGATCTAGGCGGCCACTTGACCGGTCCCGAACGTGAAATAAAATGTTCACCGAACTCGCCTCTTAATAAGTTCATTGCTACGCGTGCTGTGTGGCATGTGGCACCGTCTTGTTGAAACCACAGCCCATACCGCATCAAACTGTGACTTTTTATGGATGCATTGGTAGCTCTTGATGTATCTGGTTATGAGGATGTTTTACAGTGATACAAAACACGAAACGTGCGTCAGCTGTTTAATCCAGTGTTGCAAAAAAGATAATAACTAAAAAATCACCCTTTAGTTTGTTATTATTGCCAAGACCACTAAGAAATCAATATGAAATTTCTTAATGGTCATGAATTAAACTTAAAACAAAACTTATGACATAAATAAATTCCATGATATATAGGGTAAATTGAAGGCGCCTATCACAACTACAATACATTATCGGTTGTTTTAGTAATGGAAAATAATTTTTACCTTGAATTCCATCGCTTCCGATTTCGCAAAATGACATTCTTCCTCAGCAAGGTCAGCTTGAACACCAATAAGCACTCCACCACCAATTTTATTTAAGCGATCATTTCTAAAAACTTCATAGTTGTTCCCTAAGATTTCAGAATTGAACATATTTGGTTTAAGCCGAATTTCGGAGAAAACCAAAATTTTATAATCGTAGTTGTGTACATACGAGTATAAGTCTTTCAGCTTAGTGTTCAAACCTCTGACGTTTTGATAGTAAATTTTCAAGTTAACATCCGCTAACAGTTTTTTTGGTTCATAGGAGGCTACAGACAATTGAGCAAGATCGTTATTAATCTTTCTTTGCTTTAAATCAAACTCTCGGACAAAAGCACCATACGGTTTAAAATGATGAGTTCAAAAGTACGTCGAAGCAATTAGCGGAGACGTCTATTTTAAAGGAAGCTATAGATCTTTCATATGAAAAATTGAGCTTCCTAAAATCCAAACTGACTGTATTTAATTTGCCTAATATATAGGATCGCACGTCATCCGCAGTTGTATATTTTGCAAACCGCGCTACAAATATGGACTTCCTTTTCGGAACCACAACTAGCTCTTTTCTAGCTGTGGTTAAGACCGAGGGAGGTGCTGAAAAAGTAAACGCTCCGGTGCAGCGACTATTTGAATATGCTTAGATGCAGTCGAAGTAGTAGTAGGAGAAGGAGCAGGTGTATTTGATGTTTCAGTAATATATATAAATTAAGTGACTATTTTAGAAATTTTGAGAAAACTTTTCTTAAAAACGCTGCATTTGTAATAATAAAATGCCTAGCTTATTCGATTACTATATTAATGGAAACAACAAAAAACATTAGAAAAAACTTACAGCAGAGGATTCCATTTTTGGTATCAATAAATAGTTATTTTCTTCAAAATGTTCTAAAAAAATTTTTTAAAAATACTGATTTACTGTTTTTAAAGTGTTCTTATAGAATCATTTCTAATGTTTTTTCTAGCAATCGTATCAGCTCTCCATTTATATTTTTGTAGATCTACTCCTTTCTGGCAGATAATTCCGATTTAAGCTTAACAAAATATCTAGCATTTCCTTAATATTAGAAGGCTTTCTGAAAATCTCTACGTTAAATTGAAGTATAGATATAATTTACTGAAAATTTGTGAAATTCGATAATCTTTTAACAAAAAATATTGACCGAATTTAATCATGTGGCGCTAAAATTTTTAGGACAGTCTCCGTTTTGGTTATACTTTCGGTGGGACATACATCTTTTAACTTGGTATGTAAATATTGAATAACTTTGAAAAAAAAATAACCGATTTCTATAAGTGATATATTTTCATTCAGTTCGGTTCAGGAAATTTTTTTGGACTAGTTTTTGAAAATAATATCAATCAAGTGGCTACCTATATTAACAATAACAAAAGGACACCTTTTTTCTGCGTTAGCTATTACCTTTCCGAGCATCTCGGGTGTTAGAGCGTCGATTTCAGCATGTCGATTTGCCTTGAGCTCATCAATAGTTTGAGGATGATTGGTGTAAACCGTGCTTTTCAAATAAGCTGATTTAACCCCCCACACAAAAAAGTTCGGGTGGGTTAAATCAGGTGATCTCTCAGATGGTGCTTTTTTGCCGCGTTGAGTTAACACAATGGAACGACTGTTTTCGATGTAAAGTGTCACTATTTCAGCGCGTAGTTTCGGTGTGAAGCGATCCATGGCAAAAATTGTACTGAATTGACGTTTCCAAAACATATCTGATGCAATCGCTCGGTGGGTAAATGAGAAAATTATTCAGGGTTTACATATCGACGTAATAAATGGAGCACCCTGTATGTACCATGAAGTTGAAGAAAATAAAGGTGGATTTCTTGCAAAAAAAGAAGAGGACAGGATAGTGCTAGGATTTCAAGTTCACAAGCTTCACTTCTTTCTGGCGAAATGCGCTAGATACTAATGAAAACCCACAAAGCTTACTCCTAATACTGGAAACTTTATCAGTGTCAAGGAATGAATACACAATGAACCGATCAAGAAAAATTCGCAACAAAAAGGCATAAATGTAATAAAAAAATATTACCCCATAAATAGTACATAAAGGGGTATCATGTCGGAATCTTCGGTAGCCGAGTGGTTAGCATTGCGTACTGCCATTCGGAAGGTTCGGGTTCAAATCCTGGCGTCGTTCTAATATCCAAAAGCGTTATGGAAAATTTGTTTAAAATAAAGAATTAATTTAAATTATTCTAATTGCGGTTGCCCCTCGGCAGGGAATGCAAACCCCTCCGAGTGTATTTCTGACATGACGAGGCGCAATACCACAAATTGGATTAGGAGCTCAGCCGAAAATCGCTTCAGCGGTCACAAAACGCCAATTACATATATATACATATATATATATATATATATAATACTGGGGATCATACTTGAGTTGCTGTGAATCACAAGTTTTCGACAAACTCACACAGTTACCAAAAAGTAAAGTAAAGCAAATTGTTCAAATGCAAGAATTTGAACACATTTCTTTTAGCAATAGAACTAAACATCTGCAACTGGGGTCCTACTCTGTACTAAAATTTAATATGATTGCTGCACTCGGACAAACGTGGAGCACTTATCACTTTAATAAAAAACACGCAACCTAACCTAACCTAGCATGATTTTGCTTCCCGTAATATCAAAATAATGAAAAGGTGACATATTACAATAATTTTTTATAATTAAAGTGCGGCCGCTCGCATTTATGCCTTTAGTTTTCTCTTTTTGAACAAAATAATTATTTTCCGTTTCACTTCAAAACGGTCCAAAATTTTCTCATTCGCAATTATTCGGTTCATTTACTCAATTTGAATATTGCAACCTCAACAACTTTCGGCAATTTTCTTTTCATGCTACCAAACACGTATGATTTTTAATAATTTTAATCTTAAATGTTTGTATATTTTTCCTTCATTTAATATTCATTTGTTGTTGTCAGTATTTGCACAAAAGATGTTTAAGCCACGCAAACAATGTTAACGCGTCGGAAAATATGCAAAGTAGCTCCGATTTCGTATTTAAAGGGTTCAACTTATGGTAGATGAGGGTTGCTACAGTACACTAATTTGTTGTTTATTTTAGCTTTATGTTGAGTTAAAATCTGTGGTATATGGAACTTTAATTCGTTTAGATTTCTACGATTATTTGCATTCACTTTGAATAAGTAAACAAAGGGTAGGGTACGGTGCGAGATTTTACAAAAGCTTTCGCTGAGGAATTAATGATTTTCAGTTTTTTATGAGTGAGCTGCGCATTATGCTCATGATAAAGGATATATTTGCTTACATTATTTCTTGGAAGTATAGCTCGTAGTTTAAAAGAGCAAAGGATAAGGGTTTGTGAATTCAAAATTTTCAAAGCATACTTTTGTGTGGAAATATCCATATGGTTTTGGTAAGTTAATACTTTTTAATTTTTAATTTTTAATTTTAAATATATATAAGAAAAGATTATTCTATCGCCATACCTAAACACAAAATACGAAGCCTGTTTAAGGTTTTATTATGTTGGATTCCTTTGTAAAAGATGAAAG